AGAGAGGATCGTTCGGTTAGCAAGGTCGAATATATATAGGATAGAGGTTCGAATCCTATTGGAGGACGAATATTTTCTATGACAATTTCTCGGACATTCAGGTCGGTAAATGTTGTTTAATACTGTTTATTATAAACAGAACATTTACTTAAATATTTGTCCGGTGGCTAGGATCAAAGTGTAGTATCTGCGCTTTGTGAGCTGCCGGGTCGGGTGTCTGTCGAACTCTCTGCTTGCAGAGAGGAATCCGGACGAAGCTCCGCCGAAGGGTAGGGTTTCGTTGGGGGAGGTTGACGGAACTGGCCCGCCTCGGCGGGTTTGGATGGTCATTTATTTTTGGCTGGGCCTACGGGCTCAGAGATACCCACATTAAAAAGGCCTTGTGCCACATTCGATCCCCCGTGGGTGGATTGATAAATACCATCTATAAAAAGAATGTATAAACATAAAAATGTCTTTATATATATATATATATATATATCAGGATCGTATTCCAACTTATTCAAAAATATCTTCGCTCTCTATAGCCTTTTAACTTTCTGTCCTGGAGTAACAAGGTGCCTCACAAGTTTCATTTTCAAGTCCTTTTTCACTGCTCTTTGGGCTGTCATAGCTGAAACTTCTCTCTCACGTGCCAAACGTCATATGGATTGAGTTGGATCTTTTCTAATTTATCTCTTAAGATCTAAGTTGAAATGATAATCTCTCCTGATCTAGTTTTCTTCTCTTCTGTTCCCTCTTTTTAAAACTTATTCACCGTCCTCTGGTTGGCTCTTGAATGGGCTTTGAAGATGAAAGCCAGAGTATGAATGTCGGTATCGTTACTGAAGGCCGGAATGATCTTTTTCCTCTCACCATTGCTCAGTGGATCTGACATAAAAATTTTAACCAGCTCTCTTTTTAGCTGTATAACTCAAAGTGTTTTTCATTGATTTTTTACGATAGATGGTGTCAAGGAGTCTAAAGGCTTTATCAGAAAACCTGGAAAAAAGAAACTCAATTAGTTTAGTGGTTGCTTAGATATTAAACACCAGCAGCATGACCCGGCGTTGGCCGTGCTTGATTCAAAAATCGTACGACTCATACAGCAATCGCTATCACTTGACTTAAAATATTTTTGCCCTTCCTTGCCTTTAAAGAAGTGTCCTTTGCTGTGCTGATGTTGCTACATGCCTTACTTCTTGCCTATCTCACACTGCAAATTTTTTCTAAGCTCTATACTAAACTTTAAATCTGTTACGAAAAAGAACTAAACAAAATGAACACAAAATGATCAGCTTTAAAAAAGGACTCGTAACTGGAAAAACCGAATGAAAAAAGAATGTTAACAACAAATACTTTTTCACACCCAACTCAGTTCTGCGTAATCAGAATCAACGTTGAGTTTAAGCAAGCGAATGGGCCAATTGGAGTAAAGTGCCATGCAGATTTAAATTTTTACCACTTGTGATGAATGCAGCTATCGATTTTTTTTTTTGCATGCTAGCATGCTAGATAACATTCGTGTCAGTCAGCTGTTGGCTCTCACGCTGGCCAATAGAATCTTCCTGCCTATTCATGGCAACCAGCTATAGACTCTCACTCTGGCCGGTAGAAACTGGCCGCAAACTACATGAAAACTGCCGTAGAAGCATGAAAAAATCGATTATTTCCACTATCGATGGGAGTTGAGAAATGCAAAGTCGATCTTGGCGTTCGCGCTAACTTTGAGCATGTGCATGTAAATTTTATTGCAAATCCGTCGAAAATTGCGGCCGTGCATTCGTTACATACACACACACACCCACACACACACACACACACACACATCCTGCCTTTTATAGACGGAGATTTTTGTGGGGTGGACTATTATACTGTTACGCGATTTGGACAATTTTTCTGTTACACCCGGGATAGTGATTTTCCAAGCGTAGTTTAGATGTGGCACAAGGCCAAAATAATGGGGCGCCCAGTGAGGATCGAACCCATTACTCAGTCGTAATTGTTCTAGCAAGACAAGCTTGCTAACCATTACAATGCCTCGAGGTGCCCTAAAGATTTTCTAAGCGCAGCATAGATGTGGCACATGGCTGAAAACATGGGGCACCCAGTGAGGATCGAACTCACTACTCAGCTGTAATGGTTCCAGCGAGACAAGCTTGCTAACCATTACACCACGTCGAGGTGCCTTCTGTTACCCCCGGAATAAGTGGGAAGTACTTCTGCTCCACCTTCTATATATCAAACGTTTCTGGAGAGACTTGTCCAAGAAAAGAATAAAGATTAAGACAAAAAAGGTAAAATTTATAATGCCCATTAGTGGATAAAATTGCTTAAAGCAGGGGTCACTAAACATTTTCACAGAAGACCAGAAAACTGAGAGAATGACGAGCATGGGATGGATAACCATTTTGTTCAATAAAATACACTAAATAATGAATAAAGAAGGTGACATTAGCAAATAAATATATATATATATATATATATATATATATATATATATATATATATATATATATATATGTATGAAATCTCCACAAATATTCTTAAATGCCTATAATTTATAACAGAAGCCATTGGTTTACACCAACGGTTTCCCATACTTAATACTTCTCGTTTTCACTCTCGCGTGGTCATGTGTGACGTCATGAGCTGCTGTGCGATTTTCGCTTCCAGCGTCTTATATGCACGAGTTTGTCGTTGCTTGGAAATCATCCATGTAAACAGAAACAGACTATCATCACTGATTTTCCCGTGTGTTGCTCAATATATTCTAATGTAATTGTCATCTTTGATAACGGCTTATGTAAGCTGAAAGCTTAGATAGGATTAAAAAAAAATTAATAGATTCAACTTGTATAAGGTCTTTTTCTGCAAGTATTTTCATCTGTTCATACAGACATCATCAGGCACAGAGATTGATTTGTTTTTGTTTTTTAATATATATATATATATATATATATATATATATATCACACCCAGTGCCCACATATCCGAATCTCACAAGCTAAGCAGCACAAAAGATTAGTGAGACTTGTGAAACTGGTATTTATCTTTTAAAATATAATCAATACTTGCTTTCGTATTGCTGCATCCAACCAAGGGAAACGCTTTCAAATGTTCATCAGTCAACCTCGTTACATGTGCTGACTTTACACACTTTAGATTTTATGAGTTCGGGCAAAATATATGACATACCGTATTTTTCGGCTTACAAGATGCTTCGGCTTAGAAGACGAACCCTAATATTGGAAAGAAATTTCTAAGTAAAAAAGTCATTCTCATACAACAACATATTCTCCCTGAGTCCCTCACATAATGGCGCCACGTATTGTTTACATTAATCACTCGTCCGATTTTGTTTGTATGGCAATGACATACTAGTCAAGAGCAGAAAGCCCCACCCCCCGCCGCTGTTAGTAAACAGAGCGTATTTAAACTTGTGGCTCGGCTCCAGGAAGGGTTTTAGTCTTGGAAATACTTGTAACAGCTAAGTACTGAGATTACATCATATAAATGGCTGAATTAGATAGATGGCTAACATTATAGTGTAATGACTCACATCCACGTCCCTATCAGTCAAACCAATTAGGTGACCGTCTAATTACATTCGTCTTGGAAGACGCACAGGTATTTTTTCAGGGTAATTTTTAGGAAAAAAGTGCGTCTTGTAAGCCGGAAAATATGTTAATTCGCTGAAATCAGTCCTTTTTAAATACGGCATCCTTCAAACCCGTTTAAACATGGCAATGTAAATTAAAACATGATCACTGCAGCTGGCTCGTAATGGCTTTTCTTAGAAACTTCATTGCAGGTACATACATAAAAAGAATATTCAGATACCAAAAGTCACAAAAAATTGTTGAATTTTTTATTTCATTGATTTTTCTAAAACTTATATTATTGTCAGATTCGCCAAAGTTTGGCATTTTTACTTAGATTTGTTTTAATTTTTCTACATGGTAAGTTTAACTGCATTATTTACATTATTCGGACTATTGTCCTCATCTTTGTCGCCAAATTTATCACAACGTTTCGTCCATTGTACGCTCCGGACTTCTTCAGGTGGTTGGAATGTCGAACTGAACCCTTTATTTCGCTCACTGGGATAGACTGATCTATTTCCACGTTTTAATGGATGTCATTTATCAGCTATCTCCTGTTAATGCCCCTTAACCGAGTATCGAACTCTTGAGTCCTGTCACTGGATCTAACCAACGCCTTTATCCACTGTGCCATGTATCCAAGAGGACATCTGGGTATGAACTTCTGGGTATTATAAACCTAATGCCTTCAGCAACCATTTTTTACCATTTTTTTTAAATATAGACAGATACTGAAATTTAACAACGATCTGTTGATAATTCCATATAAATAATTATATTTGGGCACCTCGCCGTGGTGTAATGGTTAGCAGGCTTGTCTCGTGAGAACAATTATAACTGAATAGTGAGTTCGATCCTCACTGAGTGTCCCATACTTTCGGCTTTGTACCACATCTAAGCTATGCTTAGAAACTCAATATAAATAATTATATTTCAGCTCATTTGTGGCATAGTTCAGAGGTGGGCCGGATGAACTGACATCGCGGACCGCAGTTTGGTGACTCCTGGCTTAGAGCTACAAAGGATAAGAAGCTATGGAGAGCCATAACCGCCCACGTCCTGAAGTGACACGGCGCATAAAGAAATAACGTTCAAGTTCCATTCACTTTTCTTTTGAAACATTCTCTCACTGTGAAGAAGAGGATAACATTTTTAACAGAAACGGACTATTTTGTGCCATATCTCTGCCCTCCCCAGATTCATGCAAGTGGGGAGGGGAGTAGGCCATTGCCCTGCCGCGCTGGCCCAAACGCGTGTTGGTAGGAGGACGCATTTGAAACGCTCAGGCGATCATGTTGTTTTTCGATTCATGATCGCCCAAGAGTATTTGCGTGTAAGCGAATATAACGAACCCGACTGGAATTCGAACTCGGCTCATCCCGAGCCGTTATCCATTGCACCACCCGCACATCCAAGCTTACAGCACCAGGTACTTCCAAGTGGTCACCCATCTAGATACTGACCAGTCTCGACATTGCTTAACTTCGGTGATCGTACGGGAATCATTGATGTAAGCGTAGTCTCATCTCGACATTTGTAAATAACAGCTGAGTGACTTAGCCCAAGGCCAGTAACGCTCAGGGGTCGATTTGTCACTGTATCGATATTATGAACAGGATAAATCGATCAAAAAAAAAAGATCAATATTTTTCGATTCTGATATGTGGCTTGAAGATGGTCTAATGAATGTTAATCTACAAAATTTATCGGCCCTCCACCAAAAAGAAAAAAAAAATTGACATTTCATATTACTCTAAAAAGTTAAGCAACGTCGAGCCTGGTCAATACCGAGATCGATGGCCAGGTGCTGTATGCACCACACCTAACCCACTACCCACAAAATGATCTGAGACTTACCGTCAAGGATAACGTCTTCCGAATTCTATATACACTACAGTTCAAAGGTTTGAGATCACCCCTGGTATTTTTTTAAACTGGGCCAAAAAGTAGTTATGTACGTTAAATAAGAGAAAATTATTATACATATATAAAGAAAGTGAGACATGATTTTTAGAAATTTTATTATGACTAAAAAAAAAAAAAAAATTATGATTAAATCTTGCTCCCGTCAAAATAACCTCCTTTAGCCTTGATTACTGCAGCATAAAGTTTTGGTATTCGTTGTAAAAGTTTCTCAAAGCATAAGTTTGATAATTGATTCTATTCTTTTTTTCTTTTTTTTTCCGGTGTATCTAAGTTCTGTTCTAAATTCATCCCATGCTAATTCTGGAAGCGGGGTCAAATTTTTGAACTGTAGAGTAAATGGATTAAAATTCATGCCAAATTACCCGGATCAGGCATTTGTGAAGCATTCCCTTCCCCAAGTTCAAATTAGTTAAATTTAAATGTACTGGCGACGAAGGAAGTCTCCCCGATTTTATGTTCTTTGGCAGAGAGCGAGACATAACCAATCGATAATGAAGAAACGATAAATGTTTTCAAGCAGATGTTCAACACAGTACTGCAATTATGATTCATTAGTTATCGACCATTCGCCCGTGCATTGAAAATTACTGCCATATCGAGTCTGGGGTTTCGCTTATACACCTCGAAATTCTCAACAAAATCCAAAGAATGGTCCGTCATATTATCCGTCCTGACCTGGCATCTCGACTTCAGTCAATTTTCAACCATCAGCGGCTTTCCTTTGTCTTTTCTATAAATATTTTCATGGCAATTTTTCTAATTCAGGTCCGCCTGAATTGAAGCGTACTACTGGATTGGCAGTTAGGTCTCATCGTTCTTACTATTGAAATAGCTAGATGCAGCCGTAAGTTCTATTCTTATAGTTTCTTCTCTCGCACTTCTAAACTGTGGAACTTCTTTCCGATTTCTTACTTCCCTGCTAATACTTTGATATGCCGCGTCGCTTCAGGGCGTAGGCGATCATGGTCCTCGACATCTTCCTATCCCTTGTAGCTCTTAATATTTTTTTTTTATTTCTCCCAATATCTTTTCTGTCATCTATTTACTCAAGTTCGTCAAGTATGTTACGCGCTGCCTCCCCCTGCCCGCCTTTCCATCAATCTGTCCTGTGAGTATCAGATTTTCCAAGCCCTCCTTTCTCATTGCGTGCCCCAGAAATTCCAACTACCTGGTGTTAAGTATAAGTTTCCTCTTTGTTTCTCTCCAAAACCTCATCGTTGCTCACATGTTCTGTCCATGGTATCCTCAGCATCTTTCTGTAGAACCACATTTCTGTTGCTTCAAGTCTTTTCTTCATCTTTGAGGAGATTGTCCAGCATTCCTTGTGTTAGGGGACCTTACCCATAATAACATAATGGACTATTCCATACGTGATAAATACTGCGCCTCAAGAAGAAGCAGGGAGTTCAGTCGGAAGTCTGGAGTGAAGTCCGTCTGGAGTCTGTCAGTCAGTCAGAGCGAGCGAGTCAGTCAGTCGAGTCAGAGGCAGTCCGAAACAGAGTCGCGTTCAGACAATTACTACTAAATCTGATTGTTCATACTAACACTTTCTACCTCTCTGTATATATTCCTGTTTGTAATATATCTGTGTTATTCCATGTCAGTGTACGAGTTCTTCTTTATTGGTTCTACCTTGGACTATCACCGTGGTACAAGGAACCGGACCATAACACCTTGCCATATATATAACAGTTCAATACTCTTTTCTTTGTTTCTAACGAAATTTTTCCGTCTCTTAATACTCTGCTTAGCTTTTGGAAGGCATCTTTGGCCTTCAAAATACGTCTTTGGATCTCAGTGTCGCACTTTCCGTCCTCTGTTAGAACACTTCCCAGATATGTAAATTTTTGTACTTGTTCCACTTTTGTATCCCCGATTTATAATTTGCACTTTGAGCTTAACCCTTTTGCTGATAACCACGCATTCTTTCCTCTTTATTTCCATTCTCTCCCCAAACCTCATTGTTGCTCACATGTTCGGCCCATTGTATTCTCAGCATCTTTCTGTAGAACTATATTTCTTTTGTTTCAAGTCTCTTCTTCATCTTTGTATTCTCTGCCTAACAGTTCAATACTCTTTTCTTTGTTTCTAACGAATTTTTCTATCTCTTAATACTCTGCTTAGCTTTTGGAAGGCATCTTTGCCCATCCCAATGCGTCTACAGATCTCAGTGTCGCACTTTCCGTCCTCTGTTAGAACACTTCCCAGATATTATTCCCGGTACATTAAATTTTTGTACCGATTTGCAATTTGCATTTTGGGCTCATCGTTTTTCTTGATTCTGTCTTCTTGTACTTTATATGTAATCCTTTCTTCTCGCTTTCCTTCGCCCCCTTCTGCTTTTGTGGTACTGTATCTGTGCCTGCTATCACCACTGTGTCATCTGCCTATCTTACGTTGTGAAGATTGTGGCAGCCAATTTAAATGCAGCGTCAATTTCCATCTTCTGCCTTCCTGAAACCAGTTCTTTAATCACCCTTACTCCTCCCTAAAGTCTTCTCATTCCCTTCCACTCCCAGTAACCTCTTGCGTCTTAGTGACATTATCCGCCTTGCTTGGGTGGAATCGATTTAAAAAAAAAACGCTATTATTGCTTATTCTTTGGTAAGCATTTCTTTGACGATGATTAAATCGGTTAAAACGAAATAGCTCCTCACTTTAACAGACAACAGATTTCCTAGCATGGCACACAAAGGTTAGACAAATTTACAGAAATATGTTTGAAATCTAGTCCTCAATATAATTCTCTTCTTTTGCAATCCTGGTAAGTAATTTTTGATTAGTATTTACTTTCATCTTCACTTTTTTTTTATTGACAAAACTAACCTGGCTACTGATCTCGAAAAGGACCTCCAATCTGTGGTTGACTGGGGCAGGAAATGGCTTGTAAATTTTAATGCCTTCAAAACGAAACTGCTCTCCTTTAATCACCACAGAGATCCCTTCCTGCCCCCCATCAGAATAGCTGATGCCGAACTCCCCGAGAGCGCCTCGTTACGCCTGTTTGGTCTCACCCTGTCCACTAACATAAGGTGGAACAAATACATTGAATCTATAGCTTTATCTACTGCAAGGAAAGTTGGTTCTCTGTGTCGTGCCAGAAGGTTTTTTCTCGTCTGAATCCATCCTTCAAATCTATAAATCTATTGCACTTGCATGGAATATTGCTGTCATATATGGTCTGGTGCTCCCGCTGTACGTCTTGAGGTCCTTGACAAAATCAAGAGATGAATATGCAAGACGATAGGTCCTGATCTGGCATCTAGTCTACAATCGCTATCATACAGACGTGCTGTGGCCTCCCTCTGTCTCTTCTACAAATATTTTCACGGCAACTGTTCCGGCGAGCTACTGTCCCTGGTTCCCGGACATCATGAATTTAAACGTGCTAACAGGCTGGCATCTCGGTCCCAACCTTTCACTGTCAAAACGGTTAAATGTTACTGTCTCTTCTTCTTCTCAAACATCTTCTTCTCCCGCACTTCCCGTCTGTGGAACTCCCTTCCCCTTACTTGCTTCCCCGATGACTATAATCTTCAAATATTCAAGTGTAATGTCAATCGACACCTGACACCCTGAGCTTGTTCCCCGTCCTCCTCTGTGTCCTTTCCTCAAACGCGCCTCTTTGCTCTTGTTCTCATTCCTCTGTAACCCCCTTGCGTGCTAATGGTACCCCTGACTTGCTTGTGGTGAATTGCCTTAAAAACAAAGATCAAGCATTATCAGCCATTATGCCATTCAAATGCCTGTTCTTCGTTAATAATAACAGATTTAACAGGAGAAGCAGACAAAGCTTAGATAAATTACCACCAAAATCTCACCATTCCAAATCCTATTCTCTGCCTCATTTTTCAATTTTTTTGAAAGAGTTCGTCGAAAAGTAATATTTGATCTTTGATTACAAGGAGTATAAAGTAGATAACTACTTTATTCTCTAGTATTTATTTTCATCTTCATTTTTTTTATTAAAGGAAGCACTGTTTGTTAAGCATTATTATTAATTTACGATTTACTTTCATCTTCATGTTTCATTAGATGAAGAATTGTCAGCCATTATTAATTTTGGATTAGGATTTACTTTCATCTTCATTTTTTTTTATTAAATTGTTGTGGAGTTATTTCGCAGTGAGGGGTTGTATTTGTACTAAATCGGTCCTAAAATAGATTCGACGTACAAAACGTTAGGAACTTGATATAATAGGTATTACGCAGAGTAATCTTGTTGTGGTCGCTGACTACTTTCGTATTCGACTGTCGACTACTGTCGTCCGACATCGACTGACTTTCGTTTCTCTTACTATTCCTACTTATATTAGGTGGGAGAGTCAATTAAGTATAGAATATATAAATGAAACACTGTTGACCATTATTATTAATTTTTGACTACGACTTACCTTCATCTTCATGTTTCATTAGATGAAGAATTGTCAGCCATTATTGATTTTTAATTAAGATTTACTTTCATCTTCATTTTTTATTAGATGATACTGTTATGGTTCAGAATGATAATGATATTTAATCATTCTAAAAATAGAATTCTCTTTATTAATGATTAAAAATAAAGATAATTCATCATTCTAAAAATGACCT